ATCCTCCAACCACACACGCCCATATTTTGCATATAAACTCCATTGCAGTTTATTTCACACCTCAAACCTTTAGTAAACATTAAAAAAAATGAAAGTAAACTGCAATAAATTAGAGGTTACAATAAAATAAACTACCAACACTTTTAAATAACAGAAAAACAAACCATCTTTATGGTGTAATTATTATACGTGTAGTTTTTTGTTACTGTGTAAGAATACTCAATATTGCTATCAATACATTTTTCACAAAATGCCTCTCTGTGCAAACATAAACAACTGTGGGATACTGTTTGTCCGGGATTTGGACAGCCCAGCGGGTGCTCCCGATGCAGGGGAAACAAATTCTGATCGGGATACCTACCTTGGCGCCACCGTTGTGCAGGTAAAGCCAAAGGCAAAATATGCTTCATCATTTTTTCTAGTCTTTGGTTTGGAAGCATATGTGGCGATACTTCATCTTCTGCTTTGTATTTGTGTGGGAGCCCTGCCAAAAACCTGTCCATTATGCTATCAGTGTCCAAGCATTCGTTTTTTTATTCATACTGCGCCCCCACTGCAATGGCTCTGTGCCCCCCTAAGGGGCGCGCCCCCACTTTAGGAACCACTGATTTAAACAAACCTTTTGTAACAATGTCCATTGGACAGACAAGACCAGCGTGAATCAGTTTAGCTAATGTTGGCTTTAACAGGCTATTGCACTGGGAAAGCTTTTTCACATGACTGTAATTCTACAGCTATAATTAGACAAACCTATTTTTTCCTGCTTTATCTTAAAATATTCCCCTGACGTGTCACTGAGTAGGGAAAAAAGGCATCTAATGAAATGCTGTATGAGTTACACATTTTTCAACCAACCTGTAAGAATGTAAACATAACTGTGCCAGCAGCCTCTCGAAAACTCGTAAAACCACAGGGTTGGAAGACAGAAGAAACTTTGAATAATCAGGTCAGAAGTGCCACAACACAACATTTATTCTACGTCTATACAGAGGCTACGACTGGATGCTTCAAGGTTAAAAGGGTACAACCACAGAACCGTGCATAGCATAAAGGTGAAACTGCTTTTGTATCATCACAAAGGTCGAGCTATGACAGACTAGGATCGAAATCTGAAAGTATTGTTTTCAAACTCCTGTCTTCGTTTTGTTTCTTCAAGAATTATTGGGTAATTTCACACTTTTACTTGAACTTCTCACAGCTGTCAGACCTATTAAACCAACTGCAGGTAGGCACAAAACAGCGGAAATATTTTAGTTGCTAACACAACAACAATGATCATGAAATAATTTTCATGTAATCGGATTAAAAATGGAAGATGGAAGACATATTCCCCCTTTTTTCTTGAGCTGAGAATGCTTAAAACTTCTGAAGTCTCGGCAGAGGAGTTAGCAGGTTCAACTCTACACCATGCTCACAGCCAGAAATACACACACACACACACACACACACACGACAAAGAGCCTGTCCTCAGCAGATGTCCACAACCTGCACGCTGCTAAGCTCAGAGGATGTCCCACAGGCACGATGAAAGCACAGGAAAGGTTTCATCGAGCTACGCTGACAAGTTATGTTCGACAGTTATAGTGCATTGCTGGACTTGCCTGATATAACTCAATAGGCGGATCCATCGGAGTATCAAATGACAGAAACGAGCCTTTATCCACCCAAAGTCTAACAGGCCTGTTCTAGGTCCCTGAAGCAGGCACACCGAGCTATAACGAGCATGTTTGTGTGACTCAGCAGCGAGACTGCTGAGTCACACAAACTCTCCCCGGGCACACGGGAGATAAAATGTCGAAAACTGGAATTACATGGGCGCAGGCCGCGCAAGAGAGTTAAGGCTGGCATCTAATTTACAATTTGATATGCAATAAACCGCTGGCAAAATATGGTTGTGTAACACGGGGGAAAAGAGCAGAAAAAGAAGAGGAGGAGAGGAAGCAAGGATGTTGCTAAAGGAGACTAGAAAGGATAGTTGGAAAATCATCTGGGAGGGGTGCTTGATATGGTGTGGAAGAGAGAGGGAGGGAGGTGGACGGCTGGTTTTTCCACTGCCAGAAAGAGAGAGGGAGAGAGAGGGGACGGCTAAATCAAATTAATTAGCTCCTTCATCTCCAGGCAGCTACTCAGGCATGCTGTACTGGCAAAGAGAGGCAGTTGGAAGGGGTGGGGGGCATTAGGCAGAAGAAAACGGGAGAAAGCGAGATAGGACATGGTGGAGGGGGTGAAAAGCCTGCTGTGTATGTGCGCCATTCAGGAGGAGCAGGAGAGGGGAGGGGTGCATAATTCTCTGATAAGCAGGAGGGTTGTTTTGCTGGAGCTGCTGCTCAGCCGTGAGGAGGAGGAGGAGGAGGAGGAGGAGGAGGAGGAGGAAGTAGCTGCATGTTGGCTGACGCCGTGTGCTGCTGCGCTTCATGGCGATGGTACTTCCTGTTTCTAGACAGGCTGTATTTTGAGGGCACTGTAAACAACCCCGCTTTCATCCACGCCTCTTTAAATAGCACGCAGGCACTTCAATCAGAGCCTCCCGGAAAGACGGGAAGCCGTCTTGGAAAGACAAAAGAGATAGATACAGGGATTTCTTTTTTTTTTTGAGTTAGGAAAATATGAGGTAAACGTATCCTGTAATCAAAAATAAAATGTAGAAAGGGTGGAAAAAAGAAACCCAACTGTTGAGCTGACATTAAGAATTAAAGGGAAAGAGGGAAAGAAAGGGGAAAAAAAAGAAAATGAGGCAGATGGTCTGGTCAGTGGCATTCAGCCAGGGGAAACACAACAGCAGCACAGGAGAGAAACTTAACACAAAAAAATGGATAAGAAGGGACACCGCAGACAACATGTGGCCATCTCTGAGACTATGAGCGAGGCAGACGAAGCCAATGACGCAAGAAAGCGAAGATGAAAACTTAAGACATAGAGAAATATGTTCAAGTTGTTCAGTTAGTTGGCAGACAGCTCTTTGAGGGGGACCGAAAGCAATCATGCGACCGTATGAAAAGGTAAATAGGCCAAGCTGATTGAGAATGAAAGGCGTACAAAAAGAAGCCCCCCAAAAGCTTAACAATGAGTGAAAAGGACAGTGCCAGGGGTCAAAACCCTGGAAGAAGCGAGCAATGGACAGCTCGTTGCAGCAGCGTCGCCCAGACGAGACTTGGCTGCTCTGAGAACCCGAGATTAGCGCTAAGCTGATTGCAACGCGAGGTGGGATCAGGAGCAATTAATTTAGCACCCAGATCATTCCAGGAAAAGGCTGAAAGAGCCTTAACAAAACACAGATCTCCCGCAAAAACTCCTCCGAGTCAAATACTAGCTGACTTAACATTCCTGCTTGTGTCTGCAAATGAGCTGCCTGAAAGGAATCCTGGGTAAAAAAGACGGCAGATGAGGGACCTGGAAGGCTTGAAAGAGTGTTTGGATGATAAAAGGAAGGATGAAAGAAAAGATGAAGACGCTTGGCAGAGGCTGACATCAGCCAAAACAAACAGTCAAAGAACAGGACATTCTGTAGCGGGCAGAAATGGGCTGGCCTGTTCAGATGGGCTCTCGGAGCACGCCTCTGAACGTGCGTCAACCATTTTTTATTAACATCCTGGTCCCTAATGTAAGAGAACGAAAGGTTTTCTTTTTCTTTGTTCCAATAATCGCACGAACCTGACATTAAATACTGAGTCTTGCCTGTTTGATCCTGGTGCTCAGCGTGATGACCCCTGCACACTGGGATTTGTAGTTTTTCCAACAACCGCCCATTTTCTCAAACTTTACTGAGGCACACAAATTCTCCATTTCATGTTCAGCAGTTTTATCCAGAGAGCAGCAACACAGCCTCCAGGACATGCTGCCTTTCACTTTGTCAAGAAACAGTGATCTTGTGCTGTGCAGTGACTCACTGGCTGATGTCATTCAATAACAATACGATTTTTCTACAGGGATGGAGGCGAACGTTATAGTTTAAGCTCACTGTAAATCTGACTGAAAAAATTAAGTCTCTGCTTTGTTTTTTTGCTATACTGTGCTATAACCCCACCACAAACTCACTGACCCCTAACAACACACATGCGCTCTCGACAGACAAGAGCTCCCCCTGGATACACCAATCTTCAGTCCTTACAGGAACAAACAGACGCTCTCCTATACCGACAGCAGCCAAATCAAACAACCATTCCCCTCTAACCGAAGCGAGACTTTGCTCCTGGTTTTAACAGACACATCAACAACCAGGCCACCAACTGGCCTTCTCTAAAACATCAAACTTAAGTCAACCATGGCTACTGAAGGAAACATCCAGCTGCCAAAACCACCAGCATTCACAGAGTCTGGATTTTCTTCCAATCTATTTTCTAAAGTGAAACTGCGCGGCAAACATGACTGAGAAACATAAACTGAAGCAACCTTAAAAGTATGAGAAGCTAAGCCACATTGAGCAGCGGACAGTACCGCAGTCTGTCAGACTTCTAAAGCTGAATTCACTACATGTAATGATTAATCATTATCATTAAATATAAATATTTTCCAACTTCAGTTTGAAAGAAGTTCACATTATATGCAATCACATGCCTCATTAGAGTAAAGGTACTATTATTAACATTTAAAATGCATTACTAGTAAATGTATGCATTCAAATTTTCATTCATAGTCTCTGTCCTTCTTTCTATATATACTTACAACTGCTTGTCAGCATAATCTCATAGCTGTAATTACCCATTTAGAAATTTGATATTACCTATTACATTTACAAGGTGTATGTAAAACTAAAAAGTACTCAATAACAGCAAAAAAAGTGAATCATATACATAAAGTTACAGTAATTGCACAACTTTAGTGTGTTTTTACATTGAAATCTTCTTTAAATAATCCAGTCAAGGGCCGTACACACCAGGCCTACAGGACGTTCCTACTCCTGAACCAGTCTGATCTATACACATTTGATTCTTTCATGCTTAGGAAAGCAGAGGTGACTGCTTTTGATACTATGCTGACACTATGGGGCTATATGCACTAACCTCCTCGGAACAGCAGAGGGAGCACTTTTGACAGTCTTCTGGGAGCCGGTTCCGCATTGAAAATGTGGTTGTGCAATGCCTTTGCAAAGCTGATCATTCTCACTACAAGCCAGAGGAGGGAGCCAACTGGTCAACAATGAATCCTTTGTATAGTCATGGTATAGCATGGCACATGGTGAACAAAGTGATCTACTGTCACATTCCTATGTACATTTCAAAACGTGTCATCACCATCACTCGGAGCATGTTTTGACTCCATGTGGATACAGCAGATCTGACCTTGCTTCTGAGCTTCAGTGATGCTCTCCTCTGATGGATCTGCCAAAAAACAGAACAGATGATGGCAAACAGGCATGTTCACAGTGCTGGTATTTGGTCCCATTCAGCAACATGCATGTGGTATTTTTTTTTTAACAAGAAAATGTGGGATGTAAAAATAAAACTTAACAGTCCATACTGTTGTTTCAAAAATGTTTCTTTATTTAGAAAAAAAAGGAAAATGGGCAGGAGAACCTGATACAATGCTTCAACAGCATTACATGCAGTAAAAACACTACACCAGATTTAGATTATGCAACCACACAAGGATTTAAACACTGCTTGTGGCGTTTACTCCCACCTTCTTTTGACAAAACGAAGACAAAATGTGTAAAAGGGTCTATACCGAATACTGAGCACCTACTGCCAAACAACCCTCTGTTGCTTTTATGGGACAAATGGGATTGGTGGCTGTCAAAGAGCTTACATTTAAGACATTGTATCATTTTGCTCAGGAAACACTGGTCACTTCGGTCGATTCCTTTGAGCATAATCTATTGTTTATGCTGAAGACAATTCTTAGCTACTGAAGACACTTATAATATTTTAGCTCTAACACGCTTACCTCAGTTTGACTCTAATACATGCTGGTTAAGACCCCATTGTTCTAATTACAGTAAATTCAGGGTTATACATCCGCATACAGACTAAACAGAGAGATTTCCTCTTCTATAACAGACTAATATGCACGTTGTTAGCAAAATGGCTTCAACTTTCTCCACCGACGAAGAGTCGACAGTGTTCAAATCGTCACTGGCAAACGTAAACGAGCACTTTCTACCTCTGAAATAACCTAACGATTTAAAAGTAAAGCTAAAATATTCACAGGGCTCATTTTAATACTGTGTTCGGCGGTTTAATATAAAAACAAATACGTGGGTATTTGACTGGTCAAGTTAGCCAACAAGAATATTCCAGACCTCCATCTTTTCTCGTTCACAACAAGAAGCATACAACCGCCATGTTGAGCGCTAACTGTGATAGCCTTAATTATATTCCTCACGGTAGCGTTTGAAAAGCAAAAATAAAGGTGGTATAGTAAATCAACGCGTTTTCAACAACCTCAGCATGTAAACAAGCATGGTACCATTAGCCAGTAATTAACCGGTAAACATCGTTTTGTGCCATTATGGCAAATACAGGGCTAAACCGAAGAAGGCTAAAACACAGGGAGCCTCACGTTAACGGCACTTTTTAACACTACGATATAATAATACCATTATGGGATAAATATAATAAACTGTTGATGGTACGTGAAATAGCAGGGCAAAAAACATCAGGGAACATACCGTCATTGCTGGTAAATAGTCCGACGTTAAGCTAACCAATCGACTGCTTTACCCAAGAAAGCCAAATAATAACTCTAGAAATTTAAAAATGGAATCAGCGGGCTTGTAAACGAGTTGCAACCATTACACTTTAAATAACACTCGCCGTTCGTCGGTAAAATTAGTGGCCAAATAATGCAACTTAACCGCCATTTCAGCCTGCTTTCGAAACGTGGCCTTTGTAGGGTTTCTCGTTTTAACAAAAATATTTTAAAGCGAATCAACAATTTAACATTATGATTCAATACAAAGCGAGCATATTACAGATATAAGTGAAAATAGTCAAAATCCGGTGAGAAGCAGGTGTTAAATAAGCAGTTGAGGCTTCCCCGAGACTTTCCTAAAGGGCGTGCGGGAAAATCCAGTTCAATATGCAGCCATCCCTCGCAGTCGAGTCTGAGGCTTGCATTCAAAGTCCCAGAGATCCAAAAATGCACAAGTCAAAAAGCCAAAACGTCGACGCATTTCTTAAAAGAGATCGAAATATAATCCAATAAACAATGTTTCTGAAGTGAAAATGTAATATTTGTCGACTATTTTCCCTGTTTCACTACAGACATTTACAGGCCTCAGCTCTGAGCCTCTTTTCTTAGAGCCCAGGCTGATCCACAGCGAGACGAACGAGGGAAGAGAGATTTTTTTTATTTTTGCTCAGAGGGAAGAAATTCACATCGGCAACATTCGGCAAACATCGGAAACGAGGCGGGTTTTGGTGAAATTATTATAAGAAGCTTCATATCTTCGCAGCCATTGGTCAACTCTTTTCAGCTACTAAATATTAACGAGAAAAAGAACGAATCCGAAGGCTTTAAATTGAATATTCACATTTTGGATGTAAAATATGCTCAACACCGCCTATTCTTGCTTGATGTAGCCAATAGGAATTAGCTTGGATTAAATCAACGCCCGCCTTTAGCTTTCATTCGCTGACAAAAACAAGCGTGCCCTCCAATTGGTTTTACGTGCAATAAAATAGATTATTCATTTAACTGGCTTGAATGGCCAATGAGCGTTTTACTACGGGTATCCACGTCCCACCTTCCGAAGAGTCAGCCCCTGTCTTTGTGAGTGGGCCAACCCGTAGTAAGACTCAATCTATATAAGCAAGCGTTGGACCTCTCAACATTCAGTAGCGCTTAGAGCGCTCCAGAGTGTGGATCAAAAAAAGGGAGGGGAACAGTTGGTAGTCAGCTTATATATGATTAAACAAAATTAACTCGGCTTTAAAGGCAACCGACAGCAGAGGTCCCTGGACTATCGCCTTCGGAGACTTTCCGGTCACCGTTGGCGGCCTGACCAGAGTCGTGGTGACAATTTAAAGGCTGTTCCTGCTCACAAAGCGGCGTGCCGAGGAAGGACGCGTCTCTTTGAATAGACAGGATGCACGGACCGCCCTCCGGCGACAGCGCATGCCCATTGCGCACGATCAAGAGAGTTCAATTCGGCATCATCAGCCCAGATGAACTTGTAGGTTTTATTTATGGAGGGTGGGATTTTCGTATTTTAAATTATATTACATATCACATACGTTACATTAGTGTCTTCAGTTATAGTGTAATTTAAAATATGGGGCAACGACATGGTTCCGTTTACAATGGGGAAATCCTATTGTTAGCGTAGCCTAGCTAGCTAACAGTAAGTAAGTAGCTTGAGCTAACTAGCATGTTGCAGGAAGTTTGTGAACTTAAAGAACATCATTATTTAAATAAATCTATGCTATCACATGAATGAAACCCCATTTTATTAAGGCGTATTGATAACTGGGCCCAGTGTGGAGATGGTATTTTGGTGTCTGTGAAGCTCTTTGATGTGTTCATTGCGTGTTTGAATTTTAACACTGTATGCACAATAAAGGCATCGTTACTTCAATAAATTCAGAGCATTTTTAAACCTGAAGGTTGTTTTTTAAGCGTGACATGACTGATATTTGATCAGTTTCTTGGTTTGCATTTTTGGTGATTTTTTTTTTTTTTTTTTCATATAGCTAAAATTTCAATATGAAGTTATCGTGGGCAGAGATTCATGTTTTTCACGCACAGTTGTTAGCGAAACAACACGTGTTACGTGGTGTGTACACGTGTTACTTTTTACTTTATTATATTTTACGTTATTACATTATTGAAAGAACTTACAAAATGAATATGTATCGATTTTTGAGACATGATCAGTAATGTGAAGAAAGTAATTTACTTTGCTTTGTTTTCTCCCCAGAGACGGATGTCCGTCACAGAATGGGGAATCAAGTACCCCGAAACAACAGAAGGAGGACGTCCGAAACTTAGTGGCCTTATGGATCCGAGACAAGGGGTCATAGAGCGAACTGGGAGATGTCAGACATGTGCAGGTATTGTCAATTTAGCATTTATTGTCCCTATATACTCTTTTAAAGGTGGGCCATGATGTCATATTGTTTACATTGCTTCTCTTTCTTCAGGCAACATGACTGAATGTCCAGGTCACTTTGGCCACATAGAACTAGCAAAACCAGTTTTCCACGTTGGCTTCATATCAAAGATTATGAAGGTTCTTCGGTGTGTCTGCTTCTTTTGCTCCAAGCTGCTAGTGGATTCAGTAAGTAGTAATAATACAGTACTGACGTTTCACTAGAAAAAAAAATCTTATTTCTGTCCTGATGTTTCAAGTTTGGATTCTTAAAACACCTTAATCCATTACTGTTAACCTATAGAACAATCCCAAGATCAAAGACATCCTCGCAAAATCCAAAGGACAACCCAGGAAGCGTTTGACCCACGTCTACGAGTTGTGCAAAGGAAAAAACATCTGTGAAGGCGGAGAGGAGATGGACAACAAATTTGGAATGGAGCAGCAGGAGACGGAGGAGGATCTCACCAAGGAGAAGGTATTTGGGTGGGGCCTTTTAGTCACCGTGTACAAACATTCGTGGAATGGCTCAGCTATTTAACCTCATCCTTCCCTTATGGTTTACATAGGGTCACGGGGGCTGTGGACGCTATCAACCACGCATTAAACGCTCCGGCTTGGAGTTGTATGCTGAGTGGAAACACGTTAATGAGGACTCGCAGGAGAAGAAAATCTTGCTGAGTCCTGAGCGTGTGCATGAGATCTTCAAGCGCATCGCGGATGAAGAAGACATCATCTTGGGCATGGACCCCAAGTTCGCCCGACCAGAGTGGATGATTGTAACTGTGCTGCCTGTGCCTCCACTGTCTGTAAGGCCTGCTGTAGTGATGCAGGGCTCAGCTCGCAACCAGGTAAAGGACAACCGAGACTTTTTTTTTCCCCCTCCCATATATGTGAGAGCATCCTAAATCATCATGACTTACTTAACTTCTGTTTTAAAGGATGATTTGACCCACAAACTGGCCGACATCGTCAAAATCAACAACCAGCTTAAAAGAAACGAGCAGAGTGGTGCGGCTGCTCACGTCATAGCTGAAGATGTGAAGCTGCTTCAGTTTCATGTTGCCACTATGGTGGACAATGA